AAGGAACATCTACTAGATATTAGTTAAATTATAAATATATCAATTCATGTGAATATTACTGCAAATTTTCATTTTTTTCTGAAAAGGTGGTGTCTATTTACTTGTGACCACGCTGTGTACTTGTAATGCCCTGATAACCTCTAGTATTTGCATTATGGAAGAATTTTTGTGTAATAGCTCTGAGAACAACTAGCTGCAACACAGCATGAGAACAACCTTTCTGCATTTGTAGCTACTCGTACAGATGCAACAGGTTACGTGCATTAGTGCTATATTCCTAAATTTGTGCTGACCATTCTTCAACTTGCTGCATGGCAAGGTGTGCTCACACTAAATCTTATTCCTTTAGTTGCTCTTCCTGGAGCTTCTGGAGCATTAATCATGGTATCAATCCACTAATTTTGGTAGAATTGGTTTTCACTCCCACATGGTGTCTGGGATTACGATGTTCAATTAACAGACAGGGTCTGACCATGCGAAAAGATAATGCATTTACATTTCTATGTTGTGTGCCTAGATGATGTGGTACAACAGAGGTATACTCCTACAATGTTTGCTCCAATGTACAATAATTTCTTAGAGATTTTTAAAACTCATAAGACACTTGAATAATGCATGGTCCACTCAAATGGCGAACTTGCTACTGTATGAGTAGTGTCAGTAGTGTGTGACAAAGACAATAACTGCAAGCAATCCTTACTTTTTTCATGCTGTATCTGCATTTAGAATATGAGCATAGAGCTAGCATACACTATTACACTCCATCCTGCAACTGCGATAAAAATACCTTAATTCTATTATTGCTGGTATCAGTATACAACAAGGACTAACAGTTCTGTTGTGCCAATAATAGAGCTTTAAATATAAGCATACTTTAGTGACAGGAATTATTGCTGAAATTTCTTGGTCTGTCTAAGATGTGAATCAGCTTTAGTGAGAGCAGATAATGATGTGGCAATCTTGGAAGAGTTAGTCACGAAACATTGTATACAACAAAAAATACAAGAAAACTGTGGATTTCTTGTTGGATCATAGGTTGAAGTCTGTCTTGTACCATTGCAATCTTTGCAGTGTCAGTATAGTCTCCATCTCTTCCCACCACATGATCAAAATATTCCACCTGCATATTCACGAGTGTGCACTTTTCTGTTTTCAATTTCAAGTCTACCTTTTTTATCCGGTAAAGCACAATGTTCAGGGTTCCTTAGCACTCTGTAACATGTGGCAAAACACTGAGACAACATCAATGTAGACCAGGTATCTTTCACAGTGCAGTTCACTTCAGTTTGACTTACTATTATTTGAATGCCAGATCTCAAGTGTTGAACCATCAGGACCCTTTCAATATGTCCAGACATACATTTGTCTACAGGAGAGTGAAGGCATCAACATAATTCGTCTTATCCAATCATCTAAAATCAACAGAAAACCTTCCTGAAAATCACTACTGGATATGACTGTGCACCCTATGAATAATAGATGATTCTGTTCTTTACTATATGCTGTATCTAGGCACTGGCTACACACCAATGTGTGAATGTGCATCACCTGCTTTGGTGAGCTACTTTTGTTTAACCAAGTGTGCATGGTGTCTGTCCAATGGACCAACCTTATACTGGAGCGGGAATGTTGACTATAATTCCAAATTTACTACGTGTATCTACACGAAAGGTGACAAGCTTTTAGTAAAATATACACATTTTATACACTAAAAATCAGAAATTATTTGAAATTAATGAATAGGTTAAACAATCGCCAAGTTATTTTTATATTTTCATTTTACGAGGATGAAGTTTTGAGCTAGCACTCTTCATCAGATTATACATCTTACAACAGAGACCATTAGCATAAATCTGGCACATCCAGCCTCACTTCATTAGTCACTGATGGTTTGGATCAGAGCTGCTGTGCTTTGATTGGCAACAGCCTAGATATTTGGTAGAGACTCTCTCACCTGGTCTTGAACTCACCAACTGCAATTTCATCTCGAAAACCCTCAGTTATCTGCAATTTCCTTTCTCTGAGTTTAATCCTTCCTCATGGGCACCATCTACTCGAGTAGTCTGGACCCTTCATACGTGAGCAAATTTCCCTGAGTCTGCCATTGCAGGCTGACCAATGCCAGGGACCTTCACACCATGGCCATGAGAGGTTTTTTTTCCCAACTAGTCATTATTTACATGCAAACGGGCTCTCTTCACTAGTAAATTCCTTCTCTTGGTTTTAGGTACCTTTTAGTACAGAAAATATTGTTCTTTCAGTCAGAAGCATTCCGTTAAACTATTGTTACGACAGCGGGGGTCACGTGACACTAGTAACACGTCTTATTCTCGAAGGTTCGTGAAGTCTCGAGCTTTTACTAGATATGCGGTAGTCTTGTATATATAAGCCGCCAAGAAGTGGCGGCAACAATGTGTAATTGACAGTTGAATCGAGCACGTGAGACGTTCGTTGTGAATTATAG